GAGCCAAAGATGTTAGAATTGTGTCGATGTCCCAATATTTCTGGACCTGACTGTAAGTTACCCTAACAAGGAAGTATTGCCATACTGTCACCCTAACCGACTGTGGTCCAAAACAGAACTTTTGTCACGTTTAATTGCTCAAGCAGTAAATAGGACGCAGAGTAGAGGACATACTGCCAACTCTGTTGAGATACTTCGTTCTGACGTGCTACCCCATCTGCCTAAGATCCACTTGTGAGGCCCTCCAAAGAGACTGCAGGGGGTACCTGAGAAAGTTATGAGAATTACAGCAGATGAGAAGAACTCTACTTCCCCATGAACTTGGGCTTCTTCTACTAAATTACCAAGAACTTAGGAGCAGGAAATTGGGGCAGGTTAAATCTAGCTGTCTCTTCCAGCTTCATCTTCCTAATATGTGTCAAGCTGGCTCCACCCTTTGGGATTCAGTTACTCCATGTTTCTGATTACTGTAGTGTTTGTGTGGGAAACTTAGGGCTTATTCGACACACTATTCAAACCAGTCCCTTGATTGGAACAATAAGGAAGACTTAGTTGAGGAAGCAGAAGTAACAGGAATGTTGCACAAAAGTCATAATGTAATCTAAGTTGTTGATTTTTAGATAAATGAAACTGAGAGTAGTCAGTCATATAACTTGAAGCTAAAAAACATCAATTAACCCAGAACAATGGCAACGGAATTAGAAAAGGAGCTCAAAATAGACAGGACTTCTAAATAAGGTATTAAAAGCCTAGTCCTAGAAGATGAAGTTAGATCAGCACTCCGTCCTTACCCAGTCAGAAGATTACAGGGACTGATGAAATACCCACAGAAATATGGCAGGCGACCAAAGAATCAGTAGAAGTTCTAAACCAAACTATGCCAGCAAATCTGGAGGATGACACAGTGGCCAACTGATTCGAAGAGATCAATCTACCTTCCAGTAACAAAAAAAAGGGACTTAACAGAGTCTGCAAACTATCGTACAATATCCTTAATTTTACATGCTAACAAAATAATGCTTAGGATGATCCAATGCAATTAGAGCCCTACATGGGAAAAGAGATGCCAGATGGTCAAAAAAGGCTGGCTTTAAAAAAGGCTGAGGAACACGAGACATCATTGCTGATGCACGCAGGATAATTGAGAAAGCCAGAGAATATCAAAAAGAAGTCACTATGTGCCTCATTGATTATAGAAAGGCCTTCGATTGTGTCGATCACGTAAAGCCATGGAATGTGCTCATAAAAATATCGTCCTTTTAGCATCAACAACAGTAAAGGAAGAAGCCGCTGCAGACTAGCACTTGGTAGAGCAGCCATGAAGGGCTTGGAAAAGGTATTCAGACGCTGTGATGTATCTATACCTGCAAAGGTCAGAATCGTGCAAGCCGTGGTATTCCCTGTGACTTTCTACGGAAGAGAAAATTGGGCTTTGAAAACACAGGATAGGAAGACTCCTGAAGCTTTTGAACTTTGGTGCTGGAGAAGACTCCTGAAAATACTGTGGACAGCCAAGAAAACAAACCAATGGATTGTTAAACAAATCCACAGTGTTCTCACTCAAAACACAAATGACCAGGTTCAAATTATCCTACTTTGGATAGATTATGTGAAGACCTCTGAGAAGGCTATAATGCTGGGAAAGATGGAAGGAAAGAGAAGAGGATGACCCGCAGCAAGGGGGATAGACACGGTTACAGTGGTGATGAGTGCGCCATTAAAAGACCTGAAAGCCCAGATTAGGGACAGATCATTATGGAGGAAAGCTACCTGTGTGATCACTAAGAGTCAACTCTGACTTTACAGCACAGAAACAATCAGACTGCAAATGATTCCAGTGAGGAGACAATATGAAGAAGCCAGTGTGACTACACAAAGAGTTTAATGAAGATCTGAAAACAAAAGATGACAGGAAATGAAAAGAGACCCAGAACAATTAAGAAAAAGCACAGACAAGCGGCCACAACTGTAGGGCTGGTCTCAGGAAAGAGAAAGCTGGGAAGCAGCTGAGGTTAGCAAAAGCTACTGGAAGAACAAACAGGGCTTCTTCAGAGAAGTTCACAATCAACTCAGAATAGAATCTAGAGCTGCTCAGTCGAGAATGCACAAGCTGATCAGCAACGACTTTGGTGCCACCTTCTCCAAGGAAGAACTTGGTGTTCCACCAAGAATCCTGCAGGGTGGGATTGAGGAATCTGGCTCTACTCTGAATGAGTTTAATTTTCCAGGACCAGATGACTTGTACCTCAGGACACAGGAGGAACTCCCAAAGGTCTGGCCACATCTTTATCCCCCACAACTACTGAGGTGCCAGGTGACTAAGGGTGAGGTAAAGGTGCCCCTATTTTCCAAAAAGGAAAAATGGAAGATCCAGCAAACTCCAGACCTGTCAATCTGAATACTTACAAAAATCCTAGAATGGATCAAAAATAGATTGATTTGTAATCACTTTGAAAGCAATTTCAATTTGTGGCAATTACCACAAATTAGAATGGATTTGTCAAAAACCTTGAATTAGTTTTTTTTAATCCAAGGACTTTCTTAATAAATTATGGGAACACTGTAGGTAGAATATGCCTTGACTTCAGCAAGATGTTTACAGAGGACCCAATAACTTGACTGTAAAGCTTGCTGAGAGTGGGCTGAATGGGATGACAATCAAGCAGCTACAGAGCTGCCTTCAACTCATCTGCAGAACAACTCATCAGTGGTTCATCGTCAGATTGGAGACACGAACTAAACAAGGTGCCACAAAGGCCAGTTCTGGGATGTCTGTACGCATCATTTGGATGAAGAGGTGAGGGGAAGGTTTATAAACTTTGTAGATGACACAGAAGACAGAATTAAAATTCAAAATGTCCTTCACAGGTGGGAAAACTGGGCCAAAAGTAATAAAACAGAATTTAGCACAGATAAGCACAAAGTTCTTCACTTAGAAAACAAGTATCAAAGGCAGGGGCCTCTGGTTTGATTATAGAACTTTCAATGATAGCTGACTGCAGGGTATGAGCCAGCGATCTGATGTGCAGAAATGACAAACACCGTTTTGTGTTGTATCAACAGAAGTATCATTTTCAGTAACTACTGTTTTGGTCAGACTCCACCCTGAGTCCTGTGTCAGTGTGGTCTTTGAAGGAGGGTTCAGAGAAGGGCAACAAGATGATTGGGGACTAGAAACTAAGTCCCACAAAGCAGGATGTCAAGAGCTGGGAAGAAAATGAGCTTTGTCTGAATGATATCATTCAATAAATAGCTGAACGAATGTCACAGAGAAGATCAACCCCCTTCTCTCTTGTTCCAGTCTGCAAGACACGGAACAATGGATTTCAGTTAGAGGAAAAGAAGGTTCAAGTGACTATTAACAGGAATCACTTAACCAGAGGAGGTGGTGGGCTCTTTCACAGGATGTGTCCTACCACAGCATTGACCGTAATTTGCCAGGAATACCTTAGTTCTATGAAGTCTGCAAGCCAACAGCACCCACAATTAGGGTTTCCTCACAAGTCTCCCCCTGCCCCCTCCAGCAAAGGAGTCACCTTCACCTGCCAATAATGTGCGCGTCTCCAGTTTCCACTGTCAGCTGGGAGTTGATGGCTTCAAAACTGGAGTTTTCCAAGAGCTTCATTGTTGCACTTCCTGGTGCCAAAACAGTCTTCAGGACTACGCTGTGCAGTTGAATTCCCTGGCAGAAATAGAGGAGAGAGACGTGTCCTTACATCCCAGGAAACAGAAGGTGCACCAGTGGCACTTACCCAGGGGGACCCACCACAGGGCACTCCCCTTACAACAACAGCCTGTGGCTTGAAATGCCCAGCTACACCTGCACAGAGCTGGACTGATTCATTCAGAATCACCTGAAAGGTTTCAGTCACACCTGAGAGTACTGCACTACTACATCCACGTTTGGGGCAGGGACATCCCAGCAGCTTTCAGCCTGACAGCCTGACCTCAAGGCTAGCAGATTTGGGACTGGAGCTGGCAAGGAGGATGTTAGTGGACAGGCCAGGCAGTGCCACGAACAAAACTGCAGAGATTCCTGTGGCCAGCCAGAGCCTTAACAAGAACGCACACCAGCTGTGTCCTCAGATATCCCCCCTGCCGCCTCCAGAAAGAATCTACAAGAGCAAGACCCCATATAACTTCGCTTCCAATATGCTTCTCTGCAATTGGAAAAGTCCAGACGTGCGGTCAAGATAGCAGCTTTAGAGCAATCTCTTTCTCGTTGGGGCCGAAAGGAGGCTGACAGAGCCCCAACCAAGTTCTCCAGAGAAGGAGCTCCCTTCATCGGCTGCCCCATTTAAAACATTTACAGCCTGCTTCCCATTAAAGATCTCAGTAACAATTCAGAACGATTGAACTTAGCGAGCATCACCAGCAAAGCCCAAAGTAGCCAGGGGCTGGGAGTCGTCTGCCACTGAAGAAAGGGGACGAAAAACAACTCTCCAGCACGGTGCTCTTTGCCAGCTGGGGAGGAGAAAGGAGGGGCCGCAGGCAGGCCCGGCTCATCCTGCTTGAGAGTTTAACGCTGCAAGCCCCAGCCAGGAGCGGGCCCGGCGAGACGCCCCTGCGCGCGGATCGGCGCTCTCGAAGGCCTCCAGGCCGGCGCGGCTGGGGAAAGCGCTTCCAGCACGCCCGCCGGCGGTCCGCGTCGCACACGGAGCAGCAACGGAGCTCCTTCGCGGGCTTAGGAGCACGTTGTGCGAACCCACCAACCAGCGCTTTTTTGCGGGTTATGGGTGCACCAGTCTTTCTGCGGAGCCCCTTTGCGACCGGCGGCGCGGGCCGGACACAGGTCAGGCGACTATTCAAGCAGCAGGGCAAACCGGGGAGGGCACATCTTGGTTAATTTTTTGTGAGTTGGCAGCAAATCCCGACCACTCGGCTGGCTTCACGTCAGCGGGTCGCTTGACCCGAACTCGGGCTGGGGACCGACCCAAGGCAGCGCGAGC